CTGCAACCCTCAACCCTAAACCCTATACCTATACCCTAAACCCTCAACCCTCAACCCTAAACCCTAAACCCTAAACCCTCAACCCTCAACCCTCAACCCTAAACCCCAAACCCTAAACCGTCAACCCTAAACCCTAAACCCCTAAACCCCTAAACCCTGCCCCCATAGCCGGAAACCCGGCCTATTGTTCAGTTTGGGGTTTTAGGGTTTCGGGGTTTCGGGTTTAGGGTTTCGGGTTTAGGGTCGGGAAATAGGCTTTTCTGTTGCAGCTTAGCTTTTTCGCTCCTTTCGGCGACAGGGTGCGGTGACGAAGTCTTTCAGGATCTAGGGTTGTACGTGTGAGGTTTAGGATATGGGCGGGTGCGATTGTGGGTGTGGGGTTTAAGATTTTAGGTTGAGGGTGTAGCTGCAGGGTGCGGGGTTCTTTAAAGTTGTTGGATCTGTGGTTTGGTGCAGCGATGGAAACATTAGCGGAATTATGAAAAGCAGCGACATTGAGGGTATAACCCCTGGCATCGTGAAACCAAACGTTAGGATTTGATATTCGTATGTGGGATGTTTGGCCAAATATATTTCGGTGTCGGGACGGGACGGGACGGAAAGTGCGAGTAAGGGCTTAGCCTGTTCTGGTACAGATTCTTAATACAAAGGACCCGCGGGAATATAATGACTGTACATCAAAACACCACTCCGTATTGACGAGGGCTTGACACCAAGGCGCGAAGAACGCGTCGCGATTGGGTCCACGATTAATTAAGTGGTGCTATATAGTGTGAACGCAAAAACTTGAGCTCTCAACCAGAAGCCCTAAACCACCCCAAGCCTTGTCAAGACATCCAAGTTTGCACCTCCTGACATTATGCTTCCCGTTGCGGCTCCCATGTTATTCTGGTTTCTTTTGATTCTTGATTCTTCTCACTGCATCGGGAAATGATGCTCCATGGTGTTTCCTATACTATGTTATTACATATGACATACGGTACTTCCCATGTCAGTCACTTCTGAGAGCCCTCTTTCGGCCAAGTGGCACAGACCGATCTTCGCGTCAGCTGCGTGGACGCCTTTTCTCGGCTTTCATGGCTACGTACTACAAGGACCCTTGCCCTTAGCATCAAAATAGCCCAAAAGCCTTATATAACAGGGTCTTTGGGCCCAAACGCCTTAAAATATGTGTCCTTTGAGGTAAGGGGTAAAGACTAGAACAGGGATAGGGTTCCTTAAAGCGCTCCTGGCAAGGTTTCTGCAATTACTGTTCAGAGTTGCACTGGATTCACAGGGTTGTCGTAAAGGTCTAGGGGGTTCATGTGGATGGTTGTCAAAATTATGGTCCCTTTTTGGGTCCTTAATATAATACGGTTATTTAGGGTACCCCCAAAGGGACCATAATTTTGACAACTACCCATGTGGCTCCGGGGACTCACTACGGGCTATTTAAGGGAACTATGGGCTTCGAGGGATTCACACGGTTTAGGGTTTAGGGTTTAGGGTTTAGGGTTTAGGGTTTAGGGTTTAGGGTTTAGGGGCCATTGGGTTTGCTTGGCTTTAGGACTGAGGGTATGGATGCCTTGATGTTTGAGTTCCTATGCAGAGAGGCTCTGCTAAAGGTTGCTTCTAAGGGGCTTCTATACGGGCAGTCATAATGTGCAGAGAAAGGTCCGGGCATACCTCACAATACCAATTTATACTATATATATATATATATGTATGTGTGTATATATATATATATACACACTAGGATTAGGGTTTAGGGTCTAGGGTCTAGGGTTTAGGGATTAGGGTTTAGGGTTTAGGGACGAGGATGGCTGGATGATCTGGGTGTTGGAGCTGCGGCTTACACTGCTTTCAGGGTGAATTCAGGGTGTAGGGCGCTAGGCTTTACGGCTTTAGGTTTAGGCCGGCGTTTGGGGTTTAAGGCTATGTTGCCACACAGACAAAACCATACAAATATAGCGCGTCTACCCAAGGCTCAAATTCCAGATGTCTATGGTTTTCCTACGTTAGACTTAGCTGACCTAGCTCCAACTCTCCGCGCACATCACACAAAACATCCAACTTCCCAAACCCTAAACCCCTAAACCCCTAAACCCTAAACCCTAAACCCTAAACCCTAAACCCTAAAGCAGTCGCCAAGCCGGAGCTCAATTCTGCTCGCAATACAGCTCTTGAGCAGTGCAAGGTACCAGAAAAGGGATCCATGTCAAATAGTATAGTTGCGCTATGATGGTACCATAATTTAATTTCCGTAACAAGAGCCCAGTATTTTCGGATTTCAGCAAGTGTATAGAAGGCTCCTCAGGGCTTCGGGCGCGGGTTGGTGCGTTTTTTTGTGTTGTGTGCTGTCCGCTGAATTCGCATGAACGAACCCAGGGCTTCCAAAGACTTGTCCGTGCAACCGGAAGCTTATATGCCCATTTGCCCTGGTGTATAACATAGGGAACCGGTTGTATAGGGTACATCTATGCTCATGGTTGACTATATTGCACACATGCGCCTTCCATACACATAGTTATATGTATTCGGTGTATATACATACGTACATATATGCACACAGGTATCGTTGTAACATCTGTAAGTGCCCCTCCCCAGAAGGTGTTGACACCACGTGCGCATGCTGGCAAACCTAGTCAAACCAAGCTGAGACAAACCAAGAAACAAAACCGAGCAGCCAGGACATCCACAATGAGAACTCATAGAACCCTTCTGGCAGAATAACTGCCTGACAGAAAGCCAGGTCTGAACAACGCTCGGATCTACTACCAAGCACTGACTACGAGAAGATCTATATCGAATACAAAGCCCAATCTAACAGAAGAGCCCTTCCAAAAAGAAAGCCATCTCTTGCCCGTCGGCTTGTCTGCGTTGAAGAGGCTGGCAACCCCAAGAAGTAGGAAGGTCTAAACCATAGGATGCCCATGCGTGTATGCATGTGTATATACATGCACATACACATACACCTACATATACAGATACATATACATATACATATACATACATGCATACATACATAATGTAGGAGCCTTAATATTTAGAATAGGGTTTGGGGGTAGATTACCATAGTCCTAATAAGGAGTCCCCCCCCCCCCGCAACAGTATTAGTACTTTTTCGGGCCCCTAAACCCTAAACCCTAAACCCTAAACCCTAAACCCTAAACCCTAAACCCTAAACCCTCCAAATTAAGGTGGTGTCAAAGGACAGGATCCCCCTAATCCCTATACCCTTAACCCTAAACCCTACACCCTAAACCCTGAACCCTTCTACCCTAAATCCTAAACCCTATACCCTAAACCCTAAACCCTGAATTCTAAACCCTATACCCTAAACCCTATACCCTCAACCCTGAACCTTATACCCTAAACCCTAAAGGATCCGACGCTGAAGGGACCGTGCCTCTGACGAGCTTCTCACAAGACCTCAGACGTCGAGCTCCTATCCGATTCCTGGGTTTAGAGGCTAAGGGTCATAGGGTTTAGGTTTTAGGGTTTGGGGTTTAGGGTTTAAGGGCTCCTAAACGGGATCTATAAGGCTTTAGGATTCGTGGGGTTTAGGATTATAGGGTTGCAGGGGTTGGGGTTCTAGGGTTCATAGGGCCATAGGGCTTCGGGGGAGTAGTGCTACCTGTGCCGGAAAAACCTACCTTTTTAGGGTTCCCTATAATGGTTTCTATCTACAACACCTTAAAAAGGTAGGTTTTTTAGGTAAGGGGTATAGGGTGTAGGAGTTCAGAGTTCTAGGGGTTCGGGTTTCCAGGGTGTACAGGGTCATATTACAGGACTTTACAGGTGGGGAGTTTAGGGTCTATAGGCCCTTCTATAAGGCTTCTATAAGGTATATAGACCTTCTATACGGCTCCTACAACGGTAACTACCCACCTGAAAATGTCCTAGATATAGGGCCTTTAATCCGAACACCTTAGACCCGAGACTCAACCCCCTACACCCTCCACCAGGTCCTAAGTTTATATAAAACCCTATACCCAAGCCCCTAAACCCTAAACCCTAAACCCCTAAACCCCCTGCAATCTATAAACCTACATGCCAGCGTCCCGATATATGACCCTAAGGCTCAAGCTCCAAAGCCTAAGGCCTAAACCCCCCAAAGCCTTAAACTCTCCGCCGTCATGGTCTTGACCCATGAGCTACACTGCACCCGCATGTGTTTAGGGACTGAATCCTAAATCACGACACCCCGAGCCTTAGAAGAAGAGGGTTTCATAAAAATCCTCTCTGTGGACTGAACCTTAAATCACGAACCCCTAAAACCTAAACCTCAATTACTAACAGCCTTACAGCCATGAGCCTGAACTACACCGTATCATCCGTAGACACCGGCGTTCACTAAGCCTCAAATCAGCCCGAAGGCCTTACAGTATAGTACGGTTCAAAGATTGCGGCGTTGGGTTTGGGTTTAGGGCCTAGGGTCTATAACAGTTCTGGGTTTATAATTTGGGGTTTAGGGTTTCTGGACGAACCCCAAAGGTCCATGTACGCAAATAGTATATACTTTGGCTCCAAAGTACCTATATATAGGGACTAGTTTAAGGCCAAAGTATATACGACTTGGGCGCATGGACCCTTGAGGTAAAAGGAATGATCGTTCACAAAAGACCGTCTTTGCGGCTGGAGATCCCAATACCCCTTAATTAAGGAATATACCTTAAATCATCATAGTAAGGCCCCTATAATGTAAGGTAAATTCCTTAATTAAGGGGTATTGGGTTCTCTGGGTGCGGCTGGGGATCACCAGACTTCCTCGGCTTCCACCACGGCCGCCAATGCCTTTCGCAAGCAAGAGTTATCCTCTAGGGTTTAGGGTTTCAGGGCCAGTTTGGTATAGTAGCTATCTATCTATCTATCTATCTATATATATATATATATATACTATACAGTGGCCAGATAACACCGGGGGTTCAGGGCCAGTTTCTGCAGCTTCCTGTGGCCTCTGCTACAAGAAGTCCCCTTTGAGGTGCCTGGTCCAGTACAAAGTTGCCAGACGCTTTGGGCACAACATGCTGGTGGCTGTGGGTGGGGTGCCGCTTCAGACTTTATGCGGGTTGGGCTTTAAAGGAACGGCTTAGGCCTAAACCCTGAACCCTCAACCCTAAACTGTTCATGGGATCCCTTCGAAAGTTCAGCAACGGATTGTGTCTACTCAACCAACTTAAACCTTGTATTCCCTGGTTCTAGGTTCCCCAGTAGTAGGGTTTTGGGTTTAGGGTTTAGGATCTAGGCTTTACCTTGTATTCCCTTTTTCTAGGTTCCCCAGTAGCCCCCGAATAATAAGGGTACCCTTTTTCCCTACTACTTGGTGTTAGTGAGGGAACCCAAGGAGAGAAAGGGCAAAGGGTTTAGGGTTTAGGGTTTAGGGTTGCTGGGGAACCTAGTTATTGTACCCTGACAGTTGCCTTAGTACCGTTTTTGGTTGTCAACATAGAAATTTCAAAGGTGGAGCCCCCGCTGCAGATACGTTAAAGACGAAAGGCTGTGACTTACGTCGATCACTGCTTTGGAACCTTCATCGCCATATATGGTTTAGGGTTTAGGGGTCCCCAGAGAGCCCAATCCCCCCTTAGTGAAGAAATATACCGTAAATTCTCGGGGCCTAAATCGTATGATTTACGTTAGATTCCTGAATTAAGGGGTATTGGGCTCTCTGGGAATAACCTTGAAGGGTCCAAGATACCTAACTAACAATTACGTGTTTGGGTCCCGATTGATTTGTACCGTAGTGCTGCCTAAACCCTATGCCCGAAACCTACCCCAGACCCTAAATCCTAAACCCTAAACCCTAAACCCTAAACCCTAAACCCTGAACCCTAAACCCTAATCCCTAAACATCGTAGATGCTTATCTTAAGCACTGGGAGAACTTGGGGTTTGAGTCGGAACATCGGATGAGTCGCAACAAGGGTCGAATGATGAAGGAACTTACATCGCTTTAGGGTTTAGGGTTTAGGGTTTGGGGCAAAAGATGCTAGATCACGGCACTTGGGATATGTTCACCTTTCCATGAGCCCGTCGTGTTGGATGCGACCCGTGCGCAGGGCATTAGAATAAGGAACCCCCAACACCCTGTTCTAAAGATTATGTGGCATGCGCAGCGAAGCCGTGACCGGGGTGAGGCGGGCCCTGTTGGCTTATCCTTAGGGGAAGTCGGAATGGAGATCGTGACCCTGAGCGGGACGTGTCACAATGCCTTCCACCGAAAGCATTTAAAAGGAAAGTCCCGAAGGACACAGACCTTGCGACAACGACCGTCCGTCTGGAAGCGAGAGAATGAAGTCGGTCTGAGTGCCTTGCAAAGGATTCTGAGAGGCATGGCTGTGCTCTCTCTGCCTTGGCCAAAGCATCCTGCATCTCTTCTCGCCCCACTGGGGGCAGCTACCCTGAAGCCGAACGCCGAACCCCAATAATTGCTGAAACCCTGCACCCTCAGGGCATGAAGCCTGAACTCAAAATAAAACCCTGGCCCAACATCACATCTCTAAGGCACTGAATTGCAACCACGGAGAGCAGCACTCCTGTAGATGATCTAGGGCAAAGGCTTGAGAATTCAATCCTCTAGGTTCACGGGTTTAGTCTAGTGCCTAGGAATGCTTAGGATATGAGCAAAAGCTTGGGATCGGGTTGCCTCGTTGAGGGCTTGGCTGTGTCTCGCGGCATGGGACAGCAGGGCGCAGTACTGAACGCCTGGGGTGGAGGGTTCCGAGTCTGGTGCTTGTGGGTTTCGGGTTCAGGCTTTAGGTTCAGCAGGACGATCTTGAACCTCGCGGTGGACCAAGAAATCCCCATAACCTTGAATCGGGGAAGATTCCTTAAACCTCACTCAAACGCACTAAGAAGCCATGGGAGGGGGAGGTGTTCAGGGCAATTCCTGAATCAAGGCGTGCGGGGCTCCCTGTGCACAAACATGTGAGTAGCTCCGCGATAGAAGTGCTCGCCCGAAGCCCTACTTAGTTGTACGGTATCCTAGGGGGACTAGGGTCAACCTTTGGGATTATCAGGTCTTGTTTACCGTTTAGGGTTTAGGGGGACGGTTTAGGGTTTAGGGTTTGGGGTTTAGGATTATAATACCCCCCGAAGGGTTAGAGGTCACCTACTCGACTATGAAGCCTATACCCCTCTGCCCAAAACACACTTAATATGGAAGCCCAAATAACTACCAACACTATTGTGCCAAACCCTATTCTAATTATTAAGGCCCCTACATTGGGCAGACGGACAAGGCTTCAGGGTTGGGGGATTAGGGTTTGGGCTTCGGGCTTAGGGTTTAGGGTCTCAGGTTTGGGTTGTGGGATGTGGTAGAGGGTTTAGGGTTTAGGGTAGAGGGCTTGGAAGTATGATTTTGGGTTGGGTTTGGGACTATGTTTGGGGCTTTGTTTAGGTTTTGGGTTTGGGATTGGGTTAGGGGGCATCTCTTCACGCCAGACAGCAAGTCGTCCGTCACTAAACCAGGAACCCTGGAGCTGGAGGTCCAAACAGCAATGCTTTGTGCAGATTGGGTTCAGGGTTCAGGGTTCACGGTTTAGCGTTTAGGGTTGAGAGGGTTTAGGGTTTAGGGTTCAGTGTTTAGGGTTCAAGCTTTAGGGTTTATTAGGGCTCAGAGGGTTTAGGGTTCAGGGCTTAGGTTTAGGGTTCAGGGCTTAGGGCTCAGATGGTTTAGGGTTCAGATGGTTCAGAGGGTTGGGGGTTTCGGGTTCAGGCTTCAGCGTTTTCCTTTTAGGTTTCAGTTCAGGGTTCAGGGTTTAGGGTTGAGGGTTCAGGGTTCAGAGTTTAGGGTGCCGGTCCAGAGCTACCCGGGAAGATGCAGCCGCCCTGCCTATGGTGGCACGGGCGACCCGTCCTGCATGGATTGCGCACAACTAGGAGCAAAACTTGAACCTACCTAGACCCTCCGACTATACCATGCTACAACATCGAAAGCTACTGCGCACCCTACACCTCAAACCCTAAGCAGAAATACCACACCCGTAAGATACGGGCCCAAGCGCCTACGGTACGAGTCAAAGAGTGGATACTTTAGCCCCAACTGTAATCAAAAGGAAATGCTTCAGGACTTGAAACACTTGAAAGATAGTTCAAGAGATCATCAAATGGAGTGGCCATTGGGAATACACCTCCCGTCATGGAGTTCTTACATCACTTAAGATCGTACCTGAGGGGTTTCTTGAGTACTTAGGCTTTCTGGCAGGATCCCTCGGGAGTCCTGACAGGTTTAAGCCTTTTAGGAGTTCGGGCTTTTGGCTCCGGTGCATTCAGGGTTTTAGGGTTTAGGGTTTAGGGTTTGGGGTTTCGGGTTTAGGGTTTAGGGTTTAGGGTTTAGGGTTTAGGGTTGGGGTTTAGGGTTTTCACACTCTGACACCTAGAACCCCGGAATCCCCCAGTGTTGACTACATGCTCGGGCTTTCAATAGTTGGAATAGGGCTCAAGCCTACAGAAGCCTGGGTAGCTACCAATATACAAGTCATTCAAGTTTCTTACTATAAATCCCCCACCCCCAAACTCTACACTAAATATTAAGGCCCCATAGTGAATAAACTCTACCCAAACCCCCCAAAGTAGGTACAATAATGGCCCAAGACCCATTCAAGGCTATTATTTTACGTGCTATTGGGGGTCCAGGTAAGCCCTAAACCTCAAACTCAACCAAACCCTAAACCCTAGAGTCCTAAGCCCTAAACCCTAAGCTCAATTGAACGCTCCTGCCAGAAGCCCGTCGGAGGCGTGCTTTGAAGCGATCTGGTGCGCCCGTCGGAGGTGTGTGGCTGCATTCCTTGGGGGTTTAGGGTCTATAGGGTATAGGGTTTAGGGTTTAAGGTTTCGACTGTCTCTTGTGAGGGTTTTCTGGTGTTTTCTGATTTTCTGTACGGGCTTAAACTGGTTTCACGAGCTCCATGCAAGCTATCGAGGGAGGCCTTTTATGCCTTGCGTACCCCGATGCCGGTAACACTTAACTACCAAAACCCAAAACCCTAAACCCAAAACCCTAAACCCAAAACCCAAAACCCCAAACCCTAGACCCTAAACCCTAAACCCTAAACCCTCACCGAAGCTAAACCAGCTTGGGGCATGGAACCTCGGGCCTCGATTCTCTGCTAAAGCTGGCCCGTGGCCCAAAAGACCTACCTTTTCAAGGATCTATCTATCTATCTGTATATATATATAGATATATAAATTATATATGTATATATATATATATAACATATACATATATATATATATATATGTGTATGTATAGAAGCCATAATAAACCCTAAACCGGCCCTAAACCCTAAAACCCTAAAACCCTAAACCCTAAAACCCTAAAACCCTAAAAAGAGTCTGTCTTTTCGGCTACAGTTACAGGGGGAGCTTTGCAGCTCGGTGGCTCCCCGGGATGTTTTGGGAGCCCTTGAGCTGAACGGGCTTACGCAGCTAAGACCGTTGATTTTAAAGGGTTTAGGGGTTTAGGGGTTTAGGGTTTAGGGTTTAGGGTTGAGGGTGTAGGTTTAGGAGGTTTAGGGTTTTAGGGCTTAGGGTCTTAGGGCTTAGGGTGTTAGGGATTTGGGGCTTTAGGGGTTTAGGGTTGTTAGGGCGTTAGGAATTATGGATTTAGGGCTTTAGGGCTTTAGAGCTTTAGGGTTTATCTAGGGATTCTGGGAATCATTCTCAAACCATCCCCCTGGCCTTAGATACTGTAATTGCAGAAGAGGTGCAGAGGGTGGGAAGCTCCAAACCCCGTGACTTATATAGGGGCCTTAATATATTCAGAATAGGGTTTGTGGTCCTTTATAGCATAGTATTGATAAGGACCGCCCCACCCCCCCGCCCCCGAAATGATATAGGCAATTACTTAGGCCCCCATGACTCGCCAAGGGAACGGAGATAGGGTTTAGCGATGGGTAAGAAGGCCGTACTGCTTAGAGGATTTAGCAGCTGAAGCCTGGAAAGAAACGATATGTATATGGGATTTAGGGGTTTAGGGTTTAGGGTTTAGGGTTTAGGGTATACGAAAATAATGCTACTAATACTTAGCCGCCCAGTACCCTTGCCCAAAAAAGTTTAAACTTTTCTTTTAGTAGGGGTTTAATATAACAAAAAAGTTTAAAGTTTACCTATTGGGCTCCTAAGAATATACAATTATCATCGCCTAACAACAGTAGTAATCACTGAGGCTCTTCAACCCTCGCAGTGGGGTGACAATCCCGGATCCCGAGAGCAAAATCCCTCCCCTAGAAAGGCCAGCACCACATCTGGTGTCTTAACCATGCACGATCTATGAAAACAATGGTAAAAATAACAATCACAATGGTAATAGCAATCGTAATAGTAATAGTAATAATCAAAATAGCAAGACTAATCTTAGTAATAAACATAAAAAACAACTATAATAACACTATCTGTGAAATTTAAGCCAAGGCACTGGAAGTTGTCTTGCCTGCTGGAGTTTGTGGCCTCGTGCATGTGGGGTTAGGGTTTAAAGATTTGGGGTTTAGGGGTGAAGGGGTTTCTTAGGTTTCGGAACTTCGGGATATTGTGCTTTGTATGTTGTGGGTGGTCGATGCACGGCTTCATCGCTCTCTCAAAGGCTTAGAAACCCGTCGATGCTCCGAGGGGTCATGTCGCAAGACCCTAACACCTAAACCCTAAACCCTATGTATCATCCCAACGGCTCCACGTGCCCAGTTGTCTTGTAGAAAAACAACTGCCACCCAAACTTCCCTGAACCCTTTACCCTAAACTGAAGTATCTCATGATTCGGTACCTTGGACCATTACGGATATAGGGGCCGAGAAACGAGGGTGGAGGGACGAAAAACATGGTGGTCCTGAATACTTGGGACAGGTAAACGATCGTGGAAATACAGTAACGTAGGGGCCTTAATGATGAGAATAGGGTTGGGTTTAGGGTTTAGGGTTTAGGGTTTACTATACTCATAATAAACCCTAAACCCTAAACCCTAGTATTGGTATTTCTTTGGGCCTCTATATTAAAAGGAAATCCATTGAGTAATGTTGGTAGTCAGGATGGGGTCGGGGCGCTCGCAACGTTGCTTAAAGCCAGCTGCAATACGTAATGCAATATACATCTATACGGATAGTTGTCAAAATTATGGTCCCTTTTGGGGTACCCTAAATATTAGGTGCCGTATTATAATAAGGACCCAAAAAGGGACCCTAATTTTGACAACCACCCATACAGAAATATACATACACATATATTTCTATATCATATCAAACTGTACGAGTATTACTGGAACTAAGCCAGACGACCGATAGAGTATAGAGACTTTGGACCCCACTGGCCCAAATCCCCAAACAAACTCTGCACTCTAAAGCGCTGTTTTAGGGTTTAGGGTTTAGGGTTTAGGTTTTAGGGTTCTACCGAGTTCTACCTATCAATTTCGTCTTTGTCCGTCAGTACCCCCTAAAGTATCTCCAACGATATTCTTACCCTATGGATCTCTCTGATTCCTATGTACACTTGTAACAATTGTTTACATGGACACCCAGCACCCCGTACCACCCTACAACAGAAATCTCCAAATACTGCATTACAATTCCCTCAGGGTCTACGTACGTAGTCATCATATACTCTCCCAAACTCTAACCTACATAACTACTATCCGTAACCCAAGCACATGATTATTAGGTCCTTTATACCCTAAACCCTATACCCTAAACCCTAAACCCTATACCCTAAACCCTAAACCCTAAACCCTACACCCTAACCCTAAACCCTATTGGGTCCTTTGGACCCTTCGGGGATTTGCCGAGGGACAGCCCGGACCAACTTCTCCATGACGCTGAAGGCCGCCTCCTGTGAAGCAGTGGGTTTGCCTTGCGCCTTATTGGGATCCCTAGGTAGGTTTTAGGGTCTAGGGTTTAGGGTTTAGGGCTTTTATGAGGATCATAAGTTTTAGGGTCTAGGGTTCAGGGTTTGGGGTTTAGGGGCTTTTTTGAGGGTGCCCTCATCGGCGTGGTTTTAGAAGAGTTTCTAGGGGGAGGGTTAAGGGCAGGTGGACTCTATGTGGCCACAGGTATGGTCCGGGCGAGTTCGGGCGTGGTGATCGGTTTCGCACACGGCGTCGAGGGTCCAAAGGAAGCTCTGGATACCCCCAAAAAAACCCTAAACCCAAACAAACACAACGGACTCGAGCATCCACGCAGCAAAAGACACAACGAGTCCCATTATGTAACTATGTGCAATTTGGCTTCCGTTCCGCGCGGGCTCACCTTGGGAGATTCAATCAAAACTTGGAACTAACCCGTAAAGATCCCTTTAAGAGGGACCCTTAAACCAACCCCCACTCTAATCATCGAGGCCCCCTGTATTCGGGCTTTGGAGATCGGGGCTTGCTGATACTGGGAGCTTGATGAGAAGGGCTGGCGCATTGATTAAATCTTCTGGCTTTAAGGTATTGTTGTTTGCGGCACTATTTTCCGACTGCTTGTATTGCTGACTTAGGGTTTGTGGGTGAAGATTTAGGGCTTTAGGGTTAGGCTTAAGGGTATAGGGGTAATTAGATAAGGGCTCCCGGTTCTAGTACATATCAGAGGATGGATTATTCTTGGAGCCCATGTTTAGACATGACCCTAAGCTGTCATCATGATCCTCTCCTCAAAGACGTCCAGAGCTGCTTTAACCTCGGAGTTGGCAGAGACTCCGTTCCCAAGTCTACCGGCTAGGCGAAGAAGCCAGTCACGTTAGTGGCGGCGCACTGGGTCAGGGTATAGGTTTTTTGTGTGCTCTATATCTGCCACTAATGAAGTAACAGTCCATAGCTATCATGTCAATGCGGCATTGCGATTGCGTCAATCTTGACCAAAAGTCTCACAGCACGGCTTGTACTCATACTCCGTGACAACCACTGCTCCATGAACTGTGATCGTCTCAGACACAAGCGCTTTCGCGTTGTCAGCAACAGAAGCAAGTCAAGGGCATGGTCCCCTTCAACTGCGGAATCTGGAAATCACCTGTCAGATAGCCGGCAGCCAGGGCAACTTGTGGCAAGTCATCATGCCCGCTCGCTGCATCAATTGTTGCATTGGATGCTTCAAGCACATCCACTGCGGCGGAAGACACTTCTCTGACGAGGTCGATTCCCACCAGAATCATGCACAGGAAAGATCTTTAAAGATAGACTAGCTGTTGAGGGTCTGCAACTACGGATGAAAGATCCGTCTTCTAACAATAATACCCACAACCCACAAGCAGTAAACCAATAAACACCATTTTCAGCTAGGTGAAGCCGTAAACTCCTGTTCCTAACCGTCCTAACCCTCCAAAACCCCTTTCTTCTCATGCAACAGCCTCAACCGGGACGTGAGCCCTAACTTAAGGTTTAGGGCTTGCGGCACAATGTAGGGGCTTAAATAATTTCCAATACTATTTTGGCGGCTGATTACTATACATATAGTATATTGGGCCCAAAACCCCTATCTAATTAGTAAGGCCCCTTTTTTACCCTAAGGGTCCAAGTAGTCCTTAATCATTCACTCTCCCAAATAGTAGCCTACACAACCACTATCCGAAACCTAAGTACCTGATTATTGGGTCCTTTGGACCCTTGGGGGTACCCTGAAGACTGCAGAAACCGTCCCTCAGCCTCGCGGCGAAGACCTTCAGATGCAACCGGCGACACCTTCCCAGACTGCTGGGAGACTGGGAGGGATCTAGAGAGTAAGGTAGGGGCCTCGACAATCACAGTGGGGTTTGGGGGGGTAATTATATCGGTATATTTATAGTACAAGATGGTACAATGATTATAAGATGGAACCCCTAAACCCAAACCCTAAACCCTAAACCCTAAAATAGCACTGGAACTTATAGACTAATATAGGAAGCCCTGGGTCTTTATTAGGCTTTTGATATGACCCCTCATATATTGGTTACAGGGCCAGGGTTTCTTAACCAGGCTCCTACATTAGATTCCATCCGAGCGGCTTTTTGCAAAGCCAGGATACACGGACCAGATCGTCTCGGATCTTGTAGAAGGGTTTAATGCTTTTAGTTTAGGGTTTAGGGTTTTCGGGTTTGAGGTTATCCTCTTTCTCTGCTTCAGTCCGCCTCGCGTCCCTCTGTACGCTCGCTGTTCTTCTTAGGTGGCATCCGGCTATGGCACCGGAACCAAAACCCCTAACCCTCAGACCGGGGTTAAGTCGGGCCGGCGGGCGAGTGCGAGCAAAGGGCGGGACGGTGCGGTCCTGGACCGCGCCATCACCATCAAGGACACGATGAATAGCATCCGCGCCTTGCCGGTCCGGAAATCGTGGGCCAACCGGTTGCCCCTGCAAACCCCCCACTTCGGGTTGTTCTTCTCATGGTGCCTGGCCTTACGCAGGCAACGGATTCTTTCTAAAAAGTAAGCCGGGGACTTCTTCAGGGACTAGGAGCTGCCATCATGTGAGCCGTGGGCTGCTCCATGTCGAGCTGGGCCAAGTTGCAAATGGCGTAGAACTGGTCGGTAGTAACCCAGAGAACCCTACCCCTTAATACCCCTTAATTAAGGAATATACCTTGAATCATTATATGAAGGCCCCTATAATTTAGTGACCTCCGACATGAGGCCTTGAAGCCGGGCCAGGTGCAAGAGGGCCAGGTCTGCAAAGCTCCGGTTCCAACTCAGCTGGTACCCGACGAAGTTCACGGATCCCTCAACTAAATCGCCTTCGAGCCTTCCTGCCCGGCCTTAGCATCACTCAGGGCAAAACGCGGCGCCTGCTATGTTTTACAAGGGTTCATACTGTGTTCAGGTTTTTCCAGGGCTGCTGGGTCTCTACAGGGATGTAGAGGCTTGTTCCTACGAGGTTTTCAATTCCTGACTTAACATGTTTCCAGGGCCTCGTGATACCCTAAACCCTAAACCCTACCCTCAACCCTAAGCCC